ACAGAATATTAAAGGGTCACATGGAGGGTCACAGCCGACGCAAAGATTCTATGGGAGGTGAGGTGTGGGGGGGGACAGGAAAAAATCTCCAAGGTGGATTTTAAAAATACATACATACATGCACACATACATATGTACGTATACACACATACACACAGAAACACATACATTTGTGTGTGTGTGTGTGTGTGTGTGTGTGTGTATCTGTGTGTCTGTATGTGTCTGTGCATAGAAGCTAGAAGTTACAGTGGATAGAGTGCTGGGCCTAGAGTCAGGAAGACTTACCTTCCTGAGTTCAAATTTGACTTCAGACACTTCCTAGCTGTGTGACCCAGGGCAAGTCACTCCACCCTGTTTGCCTCAGTTTCCTCATCTGTAAAATGAGCTGGAGAAGGAAATGGCAAACCATTTCAATAGCTTTGCCAAGAAAACTCCAAATGGAGTCACAAAGAGTCAGATATGACTAAGAACATTGAACAATAACAAACCTATATATATATATATATATATATATATATACATGCATGATAATTTAATTTAATAATAACATATATAAATATAAAACTAGAGACAGATAGGTAGATAGACAGACAGACAAACAGGTAGATAGATATAGATAGATAGATAGATAGATAGATAGATAGATAGATAGATAGATAGATAGGTAGATAGAGCCAGCCAGCTCCGGGAACCTCTCAGCCCTTTGACCCAGGCATTTCAGGAGTCATAGAAAGTCAACAAGCATTTCTTTACAAATGGATATGGACACAGAGGCTCTAAGGATGACCTGAGCCTTCATTTCCTTGGGGGGGAGGCAGCCGGGTGTAATTGACTACCATAAGAACCCTTACCTTGGAGTCACAAAACCTCATTTCGATTTCATCCTCCCATCTTACTTAGTATGCTTATGTCCCTGGGCAAATCTCTCAGCCTCTCTAGAACCCGGTTTTCTCATCTGTCAGGAGGGAGTTGGCCTCAGCGTTTCGTTCCAGCTCTTACATCGATATGCTGGTTACTGCCTGTGTAACCTCAGCTCCAATCCATGTTCTTTCCTGTTATTGCCCCATCCCCCACTGCCTTTCCTGACATTATCTTTCCTTTACCGAGTACATATCTTGTATTTATCTAGTTATTTATGCGTCATTTTCTCAATTATGTGAGCTTCTTGATAGCCCGGACTCTTTTTGCTTAGCATAGGGCTTAACGCAGGAAGTGTTTAATAAAAGCTTATTGTCTAACTGCCCTTGGATAAGTCACTCTCATTCAGCCTCAGTTTCCTCATCTGTAAGAACGAGGGGTTTGGACTAGAAGCTCAACTCTAGATCTATGACCCAATGCCTCGATAGTCTATAAAGTCCATTAGTCAATCAACAAGCCTCTGTTAAGTGACAGCGCACTGCTGAGCAATGAAGATACAGAGAAAGGTAAAAACGATCCCCTCAAAGAGCTCAGCTTTTTTAATGGAGGAGCCTAAATACAAGTAACTCAGTGCACACAAGATTGACACCCAGTAAATGGAAGATCATCTCAGAAGAAACACACTGAAGGATGTGGGGGACAACAGGAAAAAGCCTCCTGAAGAAGGTGAGATTTAAGCCGAGTCTGGAGCGAATCAGGAAATGGAGGTGAAGAGGCATGGGGGGAGGGGGCAGCCAGTGCAGAGGCAAGGAGGCCAGAGCAAGTGGCCCAATGTGGCTGTGGGGGGGAAAGGCATAAGGAGATGGAAAAGATGGAAAGGACCCAGGTTGGGAAGAGCTTTAAATGCCAAGAGAAGGACAGGGGCATCACAGTCAAGGCTGGTGTTCAGGAGAATCACTTGGGCATCTGGGTTGAGGATGGAATGGAGGGGGAAGAGATTAACTTTATAGTCTGTAAACTGGGGATGATCAGTCCCCAGTGTGATCGATTAGTATGATCAGTCAATAAACAAGCCAGGTCTTATCCTAGATGATAGGGATGCAAAGACAAAAAGTCAATTAATGATTTCTATAGCCCTAACACGCTTCCCAAAGATTATCTCGCTTGATCCTCACAGCAACTCTGGGAGGGAGTGCTGTTAGTATCCCCAGTTTACAGATGTGGAAAATGAGGCAGGGAGAACTTAAGTGATTTGACCAGAATCACAGAGCTAGTAAGTATCTGAGGTTGGATTGGAGGTCTTCCTTACTCCAGGTCCAGCCTGAGCTCTATCAAACTATACCATCCAGCTGCCTTCAAGGAACTTCCTTTTTTTTTTTTTTAAGCTAGGCAATGGGGTTAAGTGACTTGCCCAGGGTCACACAGCTAGTAAGTGTTATGTGTCTGAAGCTGGATTTGAACTCAGGTCCTCCTGAATCCAGGGCCAGTGCTCTATCCACTTCACCACTGAGCTGCCTCAAGGAGCTTCCATTTTTAAGGGGGAAACAACATATGTCTATACACACAAGTATAGACAAAATAAATACAAAGTGAATTTTTTTTTGTGGGAGAGAGGGGTCAATAACAGCTAGGGGAGATCAGGAAAGGCCCTTTGAGGAGAACTTTAAAGGAAAACAAGAATAATGATAATAGCTAACATTTACATGGTATTTACCATGTTCCAGGCACTATGCCAAGAGCTTTATAATTATATTCTCATTTGATCCTCACAACCACCCTAGGAGGTAGGTGCTATTATTATTATCCCCATTTTACAGATGAGGAAACTGAGACCAAAAAAAAAAGTTAAGTGACTTGTCCAAGGCCAAAAAGCTACTGAATATCTGATGTAAAATTTGAACTCAGGTCCTGACTCCAGGGCCCAAGGCTCCATCCATTTGGCCAAAACAAGAGATTCTAAAAATAGGAGGTGAAGAGGCAGTGCATTCCAGGTAGAGCGTACAAAACGTGGGAAGACACATATTTAGAAGATGTAGTGGACCTTGAAGAACAGCAGAAAGACCAGTTTGGTGATTTTAATTAATGCTTTCCTCGACATGGGTTGTATACCTCCAAGTACTAGTAACTGAGAGATCTTATCAATATGATCGCCCTTGACTAGTGGCTTTTCAGTGCCTTCTCAGCCTGGCCAGCCATGGAGGAGCCAAGGCCCAGAGCTGGGACAACTGAAGGCTGAGCAGGTTTGAGCAGCATTTGGTGGGACGCCTCCAGCTTCGCTATTCCACGGCCAGGTTAAGCCTGAGGCAGGGCCCCTGCCCAAAGGCCTCCTCTGCCCTGCCACCAGAGAGCAGGAATTCAAGGACAAGACTGGGAAGCGAAAATCTGTCTGCCACGTCTGTGCCTCATGGCAGCTCACCCCTCGAAGAAGGTAAGCTGGATTTAGAGTATGGAGAACCTGGGCTAAAGACAAAGTAGGTGCTTAATAAATGTTTATTGACCGATCCTGTCAATATAATAACATATTATATAATATATAATATAAACAACATTAGCTGTGTGACGTTGAGTGACTTTTCTCTTCTGTCTCTTACAAGGCTGTTTTGAGAATCAAATGAGATCACGTTTGTAATGCACTTTGCCTGTCGTGCTTTGTGAATATTATTAACAGCAGTAACAATAATAATCCCTCTGGACCTTTGTTTACCCATCAGTAAAATGAAGGAGTTGGAGTGCAAGCTCTCTAAGCCCCAAATCTTCATCCCCATGATTCCCAAGTAGTCATGTATCCTTCTCTGGTAGAGCCATTTGTCCTAGGGAGCTCTATTAACTAAATCATTTTTGCAAAAATCATAGTAGTCTTCTCCCCCCTCAAAAAACCCACTTTTCTTTGAAATAACCAAAGACTCAAAGCAGAAGCCTGGCGCTAATTATAAGAATGAGCCCTTGATTTGCTGTCTAGCCCAAAGCCCAGATGATTTAGACAGGATCATTTTAAATCCAAACAGGAGAGATTCCTCCATGCATTTCATCTTCCCTCAGCTCACATCCAGATCGTTTTAGGGACACGATGGACAGTTTCAAGCTATGAAATTCTGTTTTCTTTCCTTTTTTTAAACATTTAATAAAGGAGAAAGGTGCTAGGCTGTGGTCTGGCTTAGACTGGAAGTGGAGTACTGTTGTATTGTTAGTTAGTGTTAATATTGTTATTATTAAGTCCATAGAAAGGGCTGCCTAATCGTTGGGGGGGAGGAGGAAGGAGGGAAAGAAGGCGACTCCTGGTGACTTCCATTTTGGGTTCCACGCAACAGCTGTGGGCACCGAGATAGGAGTTTCTCGAATGGATGATGTCACAAAAGGAAGCGAAGGCTGGCCCGGGGTGGTCTGGACCCCAGGGTTCCTTGCTCTAGGTGCCCCTCTCCCTTGCACCTCTATGCTCTGCCCCACCTCCCTTCCACTTTTGGGAAGGGAAGGGCATGACTGGGAGGAAGAGGAGGAGAAGGAGAAAGAGGAAGAAGAGGAGGGGTCTGTGTTTTAAAAAAACATCCTTTCTCCCGCCCTCTCTTGGGAACCCCACACCACGTAGAGGCCAGCTGATCCTTGCAAACGCTAAGACCAGTCAAGGTCCCCCGAGAATACTGGCAGTTTCGGGTGGCAGCCGCAGGGACCGGCACACGTGGCGGGGGCGAGGGCGCAGCCAGAGCGCAGCATCGCACCCCACCTCCAGCCACAAAATCCCGGGAATCAGGGTCTAGGCCCCACCCCCCGTGCGTGAACGCTTACATCTCACACCTCCCGGGATGCACAGTTAGGGTTTGCACTCAGGGACAACCCTCCCCCCTGTGGGTGACCCCCCCCACACCCCCGCCTTCCACTGAAGGCCAACCCCCGACCCAGGCGCCCATTGGCTGCCGGCTCGCAGCGGGGCCGCTGTTATTTTTCGAATATAAATAGTAAGAGGCCGGGTTGGGGGCGAGCACTGCGCTGCGCAGCTCGTCGGAGCCGGCGTTCTGACGTCTTCAGCTCCCTCTGCCCCTCTGTCCCTCTGTCCCTCCTCCTCCTCCTTTTCCTCCTCTTTTTCCTCCTTCTCTTCCTCTTTTTCCTTCTTTTTCTCCTCCTCTTCTTCTCCTCCTCCTCCTCTTCCTCCTTTTACTCCCTCTTCTCCTCCTCCTTCTGCCCCTCTTCCCCTTTCCTCCAGCCCCCGTTGTCTCCCTGTGCCCTTCGGGGGCTCGGGCATCTGTGCACCCTTGCGCCCCAGTGCCCGTGCGCCCTCGAGCCGCGCCAGCCTCCCTCCCTCCTTTCCCGGGCGCATTGTCTTGTCTTTTACACTGCTGCAATTTCAGCCTCCTTTCTCCGGAGGGGAAGAGGCGCCTCGCCGGTTCCAACCTCTGGCGCATCTGGACTCGCCTTCTGTGCCGCTCTGAGCTGCGCAGAATTTGCCCGGCCCGGCTTCTTGCCTTTCCCTTTTTTCTTCTCCCTTCTCCCCCTTCTTCCTCACTCCACCCCCAGCCACGATGATGGAGCAGCAGCCGCCTCTCTGGGATGCCCCCTCAGAGTCAGACCGCAGCCCAGGACGCCGGGAGCGGCTTGGGGCCCCGAGGCCAACTCGGCTAGTCCCCGGACTGCTGCAGCCCACCGTACGGGGGCTCTTCGCCTCCCCGGACCCCGTGGCCTCTTCCTCCCCGGTCACCACACTCACGCGAACGATGAACGACCTCACCGGACTGGGGAGGTAATTTCACTTTGGCGCGCTGGAGATGAGTGGGAGGTGGAGAGGATGGTGTCCCCAGTAGAAGTTGCCAGGGTTGGGGTAGGGGGACCCCAGGACCCCCGCCTGGATTTGAAGAGGAAGAGTGGCTTAGAGCAGGCTTAATATAGTCTTCCAGTTAAAACTGCATGTGTAAGCACCCCTTTAGGGAGACATGTGGAGCTGGAGGCATTTTGCACAGGTGTGGGGCTTGGTTCCGCCGCCAGCTCTGTGGCGTTTCCATTGGACTTTGGGGCCCAGGCCTGCTGTCTTAGGGAAGGAAAATCGATCAGAGCAGAGGCCACCCAAGGCTCAGTGGGCATCCGCAAGGGTTGAGAGCCTTGCTCCCCGGCACATTACCTGTCTCCAGCTTCTGGAGCTTGGCACAGGCAATTCCCATTGGACTTGGGCAAGACCCCTCTGAGCCTCATTTTTCCTCATCTGTAAATTAAGGCACAAGGTTGGGCTGAAGGATCACCAGGGCACCATGCGTCTGGAGACCATGCTGCCGCCTTTGGAATTCCAGCCGACCTTCCCGGGCTTCTTCCTCTCCCTATCTCTTAGATGTAATCCCCTTGCTAATGGAAGCTAGCAATTATCTTCTTGACTTCTGACTAGCGTTTGAAGGCCCGGGAAGGGAGTTATCTGCAATAATCCGGAGCAGCGTCTTAGTTTCAGCTGTGAGCCTATCAGAATGCAGCCATTATGGCTGGAGAACCTGGGTTGAGGTTTTGGGAGGAAGACTGTGGGAGCGAGTAGCAATCCCATGCTTGGGACTTAGAGTCTCAAACCAGAGTCAGAGCTGGAAGAGACCCTCCCCTCCTGTTACAGATGAGACTGGGGCCCAGAGAGGTTAAGCACTTTGCCCCAGGTCACACAGGTAATGAGTGGCAAAGATAGCATTTGCACTTGAGACTTCAGTGTTTCTTTTTTATTTAACCACACTACCTCTTCCCAGCCCTAAAACTGAAAGAGACCTTGACCTTCTAGTCAGTCTAAACCCTTATGAAACGCCTAGTTTATAAAGGAGAAAGCTGATTTTCTCAAAGTCACTTTATTAGTGGCAGTCAGAACTAGAACCCAGGACTTAAGCCTCTCAGTCAGTATGCATGCTGCTAGACTTGTTTTTTTCAAATAATTTTTCTAATAATTCCATAGTAGGCATAAAAATCTATAGTGCCATAGTTTTTCTAGAATGGAAGTTCCAGGAGGGGGAAGGAACTGGGTTTTGTTTTTTTGTTTTGTTTTGGGTGGGGAGGCAGTGTTGTAAGATAACTGGTAAATACTTTAAAAAACTGAATTGAATTCTTGTTCTAAGAGGCTTGATTAAAGGTAAGGAATAAGTAGCATTGCCTGAAATGGATGTTGGTCTTGGAAGTTTGAATCTTTGGCCTTAAATTAAGCATCCTTCCCCTACCCCCATACTAGCCTAGAGACATGGGAGCAGCTCTGAGGTAGAGACTCCCTTCTCTTCGCCCCCTCTCCCCAAGCCCCTCCTTCCTGATCTTCATTCCTAGATTGGGCCTGGTCCAGGGTTGGTGGGGGAGGCAGGAGAAGGTGTTGGGAGTTAAATGGCTTCACCACGGACTTTCTGAACTCCCTAATAGAATGATGAGTACAGTACCTAGCATGAATGAGTGAACAATTGAATGCTTGTGGACTGCACAGTTACATTCCAATTTGGATCAGGTTCATTTTGAATCCACCAAAGGTCAGGCTGTGGCTGGAAGGCACTTTTAGGGGTCATCTAGTCCAAATCCTCCATTGTACACATGTGGAAACCTGATGGGCCTTCCCCAGGTAGCCCACTGAGTCACTGACTGAGCTAGAACTGGAACCCAGACCTCCTGGGTGTATTTCATCTTATTTCAGTAGACTAGGCTATAGCTCTGGGCTTCAAACTTGGCTCTAGGTTTTAAACTGCCTCTGCCAGAAGTCATTTTAAGGCGACTGCCCCAGCCTTCTGTGACTGAGGAAGGAACTAGACTTGCCTTGACCATGTGAGAGAAGGAGTCTTGGAGATAAGGGGAAGCACCCACAGTAAGCTTGGCCCAGTAGAAGGAGCGAGAGGACCTCAGCTCTAGAAGCAGAGGCCCTCTGAGGACTTCGGGATCATTCCATGTCTTTGTCTTTTATTCATTCCGAAAACATTCTGAGAAGGGGTATCCTAAGCTTCAGCAGACTGCCAGAAGGTTCCAGGGTTAAGAACCTCCCAGTCTAGTCTAATTTCCTTGTTTCCTAGCTGAGGGAACCAAAATGACTTGCCTAAGGTCACAAAAGTGGAGATAAGATTTGAACCCAAGGCCCTTTCACTGGTATAAGGAGGGAGAGCTCCAAACTGGAGGGAGGCAACCCAGGCTTTATAGGACTAGGGTAACAGCTCCTGAGGCTGAGGGAAAGTGAGGCTTCCTCCTCTGACCATGTGCCCCTGTTGTTTGACAGTGAGACCCCCAAGAGAAAAAAACAAAACCTGGCCTTCCGGAGCAGACTAGTCTCGCTCTCCCGGGAATCCCTGTCTTCCGAGGCCTCAGATTCATCAGAATGTTCAGATGCCGGTGAGTGTGCTGGAAGGAAGGAGAAACTTTAGGTGGCATAGGGAGACCTTGGCTAAGATTGGGGGACATAGGCGGGTCATTGGATTTCCTGGCCACTCTTTCATGGAGAAGGAAAGAAAGCTGCTTTCTTGAAGTCACATGGTCATAGACAATGGGAGTCTGGGCCCAGAGTCTGTGGGAGGCAGCATGCGCACTATGGTGGATGGAAAGTGAAAGATTTTGGAGCTAGATTCTAATCCTGGCTCTGATGCTTGCTACATGTGTGACCCTGGACATGGCCTGCAAGGTCCATGGAAGGTCCAGGAAGTATAAGCTTCCTTCATATAAGAGGAAAGTATAAACCCCCCCATCAAGGTAGGAATTATATGGGCCTTAGCTACAATACCAGTGTTCTACTCCCTGGTACCTTAGCACAGTGTTCTCTACAGGTTGACTACTTTAGTAAGTTTAAATTTTCTCAAGTGAGGGTCAGCAGAGCTCAGCCACAGCTGGAGAGAGAAGTAGCTGCTGACTTTGTTTTCAAGGTGTTGAAGGGCCCAGCTCCTTCCTTGGTCTCACCAGCCTTCTCCTGAAGAGTAATGTACATGGGCAGCTTCTAGTTTTTTCCCCTGAGGGAGATTGGAATATTCACTTATGTCTCAATCCACTTTTTTTTTGAACCAGTAGCTTAAGGGTGACTGTATCTTCAGAGTAAGATTCCTAGCCCACCCCTTGTTGTTTTTGATTTTTTGGTTTGATTTTTTTTAGGCAATTGGGGTTAAGTGACTTGCCCAGGGTCACACAGCTAGTAAGTGTCAAGTGTTTGGTCTGAGGTCACATTTGAACTCAGGTCTTCCTGACTTCAGGGCTGGTGCTCTATCCACTGCGTCACCTAGCTGCCCCGTTTGGTTTTTTTGTTTGTTTGTTTAAGCCAGAAATTGAACAACAGAATTCTCCGTTTTGGACTCTGAGACTCACTTTTCTGTAGCATTTTAAGCTTTCTAGAGTGCTTTCTTCCCACAGCCCTGTTATTCAAGAGTTCAGTTTCCCCATTTTACAGATTAGGAGAGGTTCAGTGTCCAGTTAATGATTGAGACCTCATTGGAAGGATTTTCTCCACTTACAGTTTTTCCCCCTGGCTTAACCTGCCCAGAAAGAAGAATGGGCCTGTTAGAGAATGGGTGTCCCAGAAGAATGGCCGGGTGACCTAGAGCGGATGTGTTGGCTCCTGGAATGATCTACCCTTCTCCCAGACCACCCATGGAAACCCAACATTCCTCTGGCTCTGGAAGAGATCTCAAAGGCCCTTTAATACAACTGCTTCTTTTACAGTTAGGGAAACAAAATCCCAGAGATCTGTTAAGTGATTTGACCAAGGTAGAAGGGACAGTCTCAGCTTCAGCACACATACACACACACACACACACACACACACACACACACACACACACAGAGCTTTTCATCCAGCCTTGCTCTTCTGTCCAACCTAGGTCTTTCCATGGATTCACCAAGCCCCATGGACCCCCAGGCAATGGACCATGTGTAAGTAGAATGCTTCCTCATGCAGCCCAAGCATTGCATTGGGATTTGGGGGGCACCACGTTTTAAAGAGAGGCTTTGCTTATAAGAGGAAGCAAAGTGCTGAAACCCTCATATTTGAAATACAAGAGAACTGAAGATGTCTGTCTGTCTGTGGCCTGGGGAAGGCTATGAGGGCTTGAAGCAGCTGGCCCACTCAGCTGTTCCCCTGGTAGTTTTTGACGGTGGCCACTGCCCCTCCCCCCAGGCAAAGCTGCAGACCCACCTCCCCTTCCCCCATGATATTGGGCCCTAGTTGGTACTTTAGATAGGCTAATGCCCTCATTGACTGTGCCTTTGGGGGAATATGCCAAGCCTGACCTTCGCCTTTATTTAAAAACAGGAAACAGGGTGGGGAGAAGAGGGAGGCCTTTTTACAGGCAACAGGAAGTGTTTGGTCTTCTCCTTCCCCCCCCCCAAAAAAAGTTCTCAGGTTAGTTATCAGGAAAGGGTAGAAACATGGGGGAGGGGAATAAAGAGAGTGAAGGGTGGGGTAACAAAGAGGTTTCTAAGGAAAAAGAGCACCTTCCTCCCCCTTTTATTTAAAAAAAACAAATGAACTTGGTGGGGCTTGCCAAGAAATAGGTTCAGGCTGGAGATGTATTCCCTGACCCCAGGAGATAGATAGGGAAAGGAGAAAGGTCCTTCTGACCCTAGCCTGTGGGACCTCTCACCCCACTCAGCCCGATGCCTCATTCTCTCCCCAATCCCTGCACCTGCCTTGACAGTTGCTTTTTCTCAGATGAGCTAGCAGGGGGTGTGTGTGTGTGTGTGTGTGTGTGTGTGTGTGTGTGTGTGTGTGTGTGTGTGTGTGTGTGTGTGTGTGTGTGTGTGTGTGTGTGTATGGTGGGGGGTGGGGGAGGCAGACACAATGGCCCAGCAGGGGCAGGTGGTCCTCAGAGGCCGTGCTAAGGGGGTGGTCCTTCTATAAAGCCCTCCCCCCAGGGAGCTTCTGAAGGCACATCTGTCAGAATTCTTCTGCCTTCTCTAAAGGCTGCAGGGGCGGGACCCAGGGAGCAGGGATGGAGGGAATTCTGTTGCAGAGAAGAAAAGACAGTGTCCCCTTCAGGGAGAAGAGATGGGCTGGGGCAGTAATCAGGTGAAGGGTTACTCAAGGTCCTTGCAGTTCCTTTTTTTTTGGGGGGGGGTGCAACAGGGACCCTCTGAGCACTCTGAGTGTGGAGTGCAAGCTGTCCATCCCAAGGAATCTGGAAGACCTTTCCCCCTCCACTCATTGTCTCAGCCCACTCCCGCCCCGCCCCCAAGGGGAAGGGGGCACTCATCGGGGCAGCTGCCAGGGCCCAGCCCTCCCCAGATGCCTTTTTATGGAAGCCCATATGGCATGGCGTGGCAGGGACCCAGCTGTCCTGATTTGCATACAGGTGGAACACTAGGGAAGCAGGTCTGGTTGCCCTGGAGACTCAGCCTTGGAGACCCTGCCCCCAAACCCCAGCAATGCCTGCTTCCTTTCTCTCTGGCTTCCATTCAGGGGCAACCTTTAGAAACATCCTTGGGCCTTCCTTACTTCCCTCCCCACCTAGGGCTTTTTCTCTGAGAATCACCTTTCTTTCATTCTCTTGTGCCTATTCCTATTTTTTCCCTCCCAGGCCCTAATATTACCACCCCCCCAAGCGTAGCACAGGCCGAGGAATTTAGTCCCCACTGGGCTATCCATCCCTGCCTTAAGTGTAGAACAGTGCCCTGTCTCACCTGCCCCAGTCTTTGAGAGCCAACACCCCCCCCCCAGGATTCGCCCCCTACCAGCCCAGTCACCAATCAGGTGTGGGGCCACTTTGGGAGGAAGGGGGCCAAGAGATGGAGAAAGGCTAAAATAGATAATTAGCTCTCTTTAAAGAAACCATTTCTTCCCAAAATACAGTTAACATAAAATTTATGTCACGTGACACTTTTAAGCTTTGCAAAATGCTCTTTTTAATTAAAAAAAATTATGGCCACATTTTGTCTCAACTTTGCCCAGATTTTCCCTTGTGTTTCTCCCCATCCCCCTCCCAGAGAGCCAGCCCACATGACAAAGAGTTTGCAAGGTGCTTTGTGTATCTCCCATCATATTTGACCTTAACAACAACCCTTTGAAATAGGTGCAGTTATTATCCTGATTTAGTTGTATTTAAATCTTTGTGATCCTGTTTGGGGGTTTCCTGGCAAAGATGCTAGAGTGGTTTGCCATTTCCTTCTCCAGCTCATTTTACAGATGAGAAAACTGAGGCAAACAGGGTGAAATGACTTGCCCAGGGTCACACAGCTAGTAAGTGTCTGAGGCTAGATTTGAACTCAGGTCTTCCCAGACTTCTAGGCTTGTGCTCTGTCCACTGGACCACCTAGCTCTGACTCCTGATTTTACAGATGAGAAAATTGAGGCTGAGAGAGGTCAAATAACTTGCCTGGGGTCACAAGCTAATGTGTCTGAGACAAGATTCGAATTGAGGTCCAGCACTCATTCGGATCATGGATTTAGAACTGGAAGGGACCATCTAGCCCGCCCATTTTACAGAAGAGGAAACTGAACCACCATTCCTGACTCCCCCTCCCCTGTACCATATCTGACGATTGGCCCTCTAGCCTTTTTCTTAAAGTGAAAGGGGACCCACTCACTAGGGCCGGAGCAGCCTACTAGACTTCTAACAGATTTAAGCCTGACTGTCAGCAGCGCCTAGTGTCCCAGGACTGCCCCATGGGCCAGACAGCAAGCCTGGCCCCTCTTTCCGTCTCCGAGGCTGGCCCTTTTCCTGGGCTCGCCCTGCCCAGCTCGTCCTGGGGCAGTCACGGCTCAAAGCCGAGCATGTCATCCCAGAGGTCATCTGAGCAAGGCTCCTGGAGGGTGTCATAAGTAACATTTCTCCAGCACTCTGAGGTTCGCCCAGGGCTTCGACTTATCTTGTGTGATCCTCACATCTTGGGGAGGTGGGTGCTGTTAGCCTCCTCATTTTGTGTCTGAGGACGGTTACATAGCCTGCCTGTAGTCACTGATAGCAAGTTTCACAGGCAGATCTTGACCTTGGGTCTTCCTGAGTCCCTTTATCCGAGGTGGGTAGGTGGGCTGTTGGTGCAGAATCTTGGCCGAGTCAACCTTTCCTGCCCATCCTAGGCTGCTTGCCCAGAGCCTCTTGGGCAGGACTTCTCCGTCTTGCTGGGAGGGACTCGTCCGATTTTTTTTCTTCATCCCTCGTGATTCAAAATTCTTTTGGATTCTTACAGATTTCAGGAGGCAATCCAAGAGGCTGGCCAAGTTCGAGAGTGAGTATTGCTGGCCCTCTGTACCTTCCTGGAGTCTCTTGTTAGGGGTTGATGGGATTGGGGGGTTGGGTTGTTTTCTGTTTCATCAGTCTGAGGAAACTCCCACCAATGCAGATCTTAGTACCTACTCTGTAACTCGTACCAATGACCGACCCAGGGTCACACAGCCTGTGGTCTTCTGACTCTGAAGCCAGCTCTCTATAGCAGAGTAGAAGGGCTTCCCCTCCTGCTGGTGTTGGCATCTGTTGGAGACCAGGGAGCTGAGAAGGCATCTTTTCTACAGACTGAATCACAGGAAGGGTGGGGTCTTGATTTCCACACTAGCCGTCTCTGCTCACCTCCCTTTTCTGTCCCTTTCTCCCGCAGAGAGAGACTTCCCATCAGACGTTTCCAGTCTTTGCCGGTAAGTTTCCCCTTTTGTGGTTGCAGAATGAGAGCTTGGCTTGTCTGGGCCTCCCCAGGGTGAGGGGACAGGAAGTGGAAGGATTTCACTCTAGGCCTGTGCAATCCTTTTCTTGGAGGGGGTCAGGCGGCCTGAAGGATTGTAGAGATGGAGAGATGTTGGCCCTCTCTACTTAGGCTTAGCTCCAGCCCTGACCTCCTGGAGTGCCAGACAGGACTCCACCTCCTAGCCCTGCTACCAAAAGGGAGAAGCCACACAGATAATGCAGAAACAGTACATGAGCTGAGAGGGCAGGGTGGGCTCAGGTAGGAGGGCCTGGGGTCACTGGTAAGGGAAAGAGAAATTAAACAGGAATCTAGAATTCTGAGGGTGGGTGAGACCTGGGCATCAGAATCAGAAACATTTAAAATATGTCTAATAGGAATATATATGTAGAGCCTATATCAGATTGCATGCTGTCTTGGGGGGGGGGAATTTAAAACTCAAGAGCTTATGGAAGTCATTGTTGATAAAGCAAAATAAATTAATTTTTAAAAAAAAGGTGGGTTAAGGATGGACCTTAAGCCTTCTTCCTGCTTTTCTCTGCTGTCAGATGAGACTCTTAGGATCCAGCCCAGCATTAAGGAATATCACCAACTCCAGGGCCCTGAACATGCCCCGGAAGAGCGTGGGTGACATCCAGATGGACAGCGGGGAAGACAAGGAGAATGTGAGCTGGGCAATATTGGGGGAGGGCCAGGAGAGCAGGAATGCCATGCCCTACAATGGTGGTTTGACCTGATACGTCTTCTCCTGTAGGAAGGATTTGTCTTCAAGATGCCCTGCAGACCAGTGGGGCACAGCCGGTCCACTGCTGCTGAGTGGGCCAGCCGGAGGGAAGCTTTTGCCCAGAGGCCAAACTCGGCTCCTGATCTGATGGTATGTAAGAGGTTTAGGGGTATCCCTAAAATAGAGGTATAGATATTCCAATGGGGGTAGTTGGTATTGAGGTGGGATTGCCCACACTGACCTTTCTTTACCTCTGTCCAGTGTTTCTCTCCAGGAGAGAAGGAAGAGGACATGCGTCTTCTGCCCCTATGCTGTGTCTCCGTGAACCCTGCCTCTTCCAGTGGGGAGGACATTAGTGATGATGGAGATGATGGATTTATGGACATCCTCGAAGATGACCTGAAGGTAAAAGGTCCTGCAGGGCCAAGCTGCGTAGCCCCTCCTGCTAGAAAACCCCAGGGGAGGCAGGCGCAGAGCCTGGGGCAGAGTGTGAGCTCATGCCGAGGCCTGAAGAGAATCTGAGGCAGAAATCCACAGCAAGGTAGCATGCTGCTTCCATGGAGTCCAGGAAGAGCAGGTAAGTAGTCGTCAGGCTCCGGGAGGACTGAGCAAAGACAAAAGAACAGGAAAAGCAGGCAAGGATGACCGTGAGCTTCATGGACTGGACCTTTCATCCTGTCCCAGTGGTACCCCCTACCCCCCAAACACACACACACACACACACACACACACACACACACACACACATCCCAGGCCCTCTTGGAGAAGTGGTTCCAATCCAGGAAGCCCCTCTGGTCAAACAAACCAGTTCCTGGCTGCACTCGGTGCTTTACATTCCAATAAATGCACTGTGTTGCGGACTCTGTTAAGTGCAAGATGTCAGAGTTAAAACTTTTTGAAGGAATGGGTGGGAGGCACTTTGTCCTGGGATTGTTGGCTGATCGTGGAGATTAGCAAGCTTTGTTTGTTTTTCTCCTTGCTTCATTTATTTCATTCTGTCTTTGACCTATAAAAATCTTTTCTTTTTACATTTCTTGCAGAATGAGGAGGAGGTCCCACCAGGGATGGAAAGCCTCATCAGTGCTCCTTTGGTCAAGAAAGAAGAGGAGGAAAGTGAACAGGTATGGTTTTCATCAGTAAGGAGGGGCTCCGAACCTAGGCTGCAGGAAGAGGGATGGATCATAATCTTAGAGCCAGCAGGGACCTTAGAGGCCATGAGTCCAAATTTCATTTTACAGATGAGGAGCCTGAGGCAAACAGGTTAAGTAACTTGCCCAGGCTCACACAACTAGTAAGCATGTGAAGCAGAATTTGAATTCAGGCTTCCCGAGTCCAAATCTAGTCGGCCACCTCACTCCGCTGAGAGCCATCATAGGCTACAGTTGCCCCTTATGACCAAGGACACATACACTTTGGAGGTGGGAGAAGGGAGTTAGTCTGTGACCCCAAAACACTCATTTCAGTATGAATTGGCCAGCCTCTGAGAGAGGCTGTGCTAACCTTTTAGTTAACACACACATGAAATTAACTGCCTTGTCCTTGAGACAGTGTGATATAATGAATAGAATCCTGGATTGGGGGTCAGGAATCCTGTCCCAAACTACATAGCTATAGGCAAAACTTTAGGTGACGAGGTGGCTCAGTGAATAGCACTGGGTATGGAATCAGCACACTGAGTTTGAATCCTGCCTTAGAGAATTATTTTGGTCAAGTCACCCGTTTTTCTCACCTTGGTTTCCTCATTGTGAAAAATGGGGATAATTGGGAAGAATAATGGCACTTATTTCACCGAGTTGTTGAGATGAAGTGAGATGAACATGTGAAAGTGCTTTGCAAACCTGTGAGACCTGCAAATGTCTCCATAGCTGCTGGCCGTTATTTTTAGCGGTTATTACGTGATTTAATGTCTCTCTGCTTCAGTTTCCCACTCTACAACGTGGGGATAAGACCTGGAGTACCTGCATCTCTCCATGGGCTGCTCTGAGCGTTAGTGAGTGAGTGTGTCTGTGTACTTCTCTCTCTAAAGGTCGTCGTTGCCTTGTCTTGTGTCTTTCCTCCCCACCCCACCCCCAAGTCTTTAGTCATGCACAGCAAGTGCCGGAGACTCTTCCGCTCTCCCTCCATGCCCAGCAGCTCCATCAGACCCGTCCTCAAGCGGCTGGAGCGGCCCCGGGACAAGGACACGCCGGTCAAGACCAAGCGCAGGAAGAGCGTGACCATCCCGACCGCCACCCTGGAGGAGAAGGACGAGGAGCCGGTGAGTGGCTGCCAAGGCTGGGAGGGGATCGCACAGTCGGTCAACATGTGTTAAGCACCTACTGTGTGCCGGGCACTGGGAAAGGCGTGGGCATGCAAAGACAGGACCTGCCCTCAAGGAGCTCCCAACCCCGTTAGGAGTCGGTGTGGGCAGCTCTAGGCCGGTCACTCCCTGCCGGCACTGGAGAGCATAAAATAGAGAAGACAGCTTTTGGGATTTAACAGAGCATTCCTGTTTTGGAGCTGGAATTTAGGACCATAGGAAGATAGGATTCGTTTAGGACTTTTTTTTTGTTTTTTTAAGCAGCTCGTTCTTCTGCCCTAGGAGATGATTTTTTTTTCCTACCCCCCCCATGACCACCACCCCCACTTCCAGGAGATCTGTCTTTGCTGCTGAAAGTGAGGTCTACCCACATCAGCAAAGCACAACGGCACCTGGGGGCGACCGACACCAGCCTTCTTCCTGGGGTGCCTGACAGACAGAGAGAAGCTGGCCATCATCTCTCCCCCCCATCCTCCCATCATACATGCAGCTGGCCTCAACCATCATCTTCCCTTCCCTCCACAGAAACCTCGACTTCTCCGTTCCAAGTCTTTATGTCATGACGAAATTGAGACCATCTTGGACAATGATCCCAGAGAACTGATTGGGGATTACTCTAAGGTATCAGCAGGAGAAAGAGTAGCTTCAAAGGGTATTGATTGGAGGGCCTCTTTTTGCTGAGACATCACGAATAGTTGGGACTCCTCAGGAAATGGAGCTTAAAACTTTGAGTTGGGATGGAAATCCATAAGCCCTGGTTGGTTATAGGATCAGTCAGCAAACATTTATTATGCATCCTACTATGGACCTGGCCTTGCTATGTTAGTTGCTGGGATAGAACTACAAAGAATGAAGCAGCTTTGAAAAGGACCTCGGAGGTGACCTAATCCAACCCCCTGGTTTTACAGATGAGGAAACTGAGGCCCAGAAAGATGAAGTGACTAGGTCACAGAGTGGGGGGGCTGGAGGGTAAGTTGCAGTCCTGACTCTGAGTCCAAAGTTCTTTCATTATTGTTTAATTATGTCTAACTCTTTGTAATGCCTTTTGGGGTTTTCTTGGCAAAGATACTGGAGTGGTTTCCCGTTTCCTTCTCCAGCTCACTTTACAGGTGAGGAAACTGAGGCAGACGGGTGAAGTGACTTGCCCTCGGTCACACAGCTAGGAAGTGTCTGAGGCCAGATTTGAACTCAGAAAGTTGAGTCTTCATAACTCCAGGCCCGACACTCTATCCACTATGGTGCCACCTAGCTGCCCCTGTCCCATTCGACTACAAAATTATTTGGAGTCTGCTGGGAAGTGGTCTTTCTCCCCTTCTCCTACAAGTCCCTTCCTCTTCCTTCTGTCCACTCTGCATCTCCCGCCTCCTTCCCCCCCAGCCTTGTCCCCTGTGGCACCAAGGAGCACAAGTCGGCCTTCCCACAAGATTGATCCTTTTATAAATTAATCTTTGGATCAGGAGCCTGGCCTGGTGTTGGCTGGCTAAGGACCTTTTCCCACCTTGCCTTCTGGATTAACCCCAAATGTAGCTAGCCCACTGATAAAAGGTGGGGCTGGTGGCTGTGGAAACGAGGGGGAGCATCTGTGTGTGCGTGGAGAAAACTCCAAAGAGCTGATAATCTCTGGGAATGAGGACTGACCTCCCCCAGCCCTCCTTGATTGACACAGATAGCGGTTTAGCAGCAACGATCTGGCCTTACTCTTTTCTCCTTCTGTCCTTTCAGGCATTTCTCCTGCAGACGATAGATGGCCGCCACCAAGACCTTAAGTACATATCGCCCGAGACGGTGAGTAGAGGAAGGCAGGGCCTGGGATTTGCCAGGTCAGGGGTAGGGAAGATGAGACATAGTCCTTTTCCTCTGGGTGCCCCTGTCTTAAATGACACCGCCTTTCGTTTCTTGACACTGCAGATGGTAGCCGTATTAACAGGGAAGTTTAGCAATATTGTGGAGAAATGTGTCATCCTGGACTGCAGATATCCCTATGAGTTTGAGGGTGGTCACATCAAGGTAAATCATAAGACAAGGGGCAGCGATAAGGTAAACACAAGCTAGATGAAAGGATGGCCAGCTTGGGATGAGGCAAGATGGGTATGCAGGGGAAGGAAGAGGTGTAATCACAGCCAGCCATAAGGGGTGCTCTGGGCCTCGTGGGGAAGCCAAGACTTGCTGTATGCCTTCTAGGCACAGGGAAGGCGGGTTTTCCTTCCTATCCCTACCCCAGGCAGTGTGGTGGTGTGGGTGGAGCCCTGGATTTGGGAATTAGGAAGATACTCTTGAGTCCTTAACTTTCCTGGGCCTCAGTTTCCCCATCTGTAAAATGGGGGGGGTGGTTTGGACATCTTGGCCTCTAAGGTGCCTTTCAGATCTAAATATGTGATCCTATGATGACAACCCCAGGATAGAAACAAGGGATTGAAGAAGGGAAAAGTCAAGCAGCCTTGAGTCAGTGTAAGGGGAGAGTTATCTAGCCTGGGGGCCTTCCCCAAGCCCACACCCCCTCACCTAAGCATTGGCATTGTCCTTTCTCCAGGGTGCAGTCAACCTCCCCTTGGAACAAGACGCAGAGGGTTTTCTGCTGGTGAATCCCATTCTCCCCAGCGAGGATAAGAGGATCATCTTAATTTTCCACTGTGAATTCTCCTCTGAGCGAGGGCCTCGCATGTAAGTGTCAGTCCACTGGTGTTCTCCCCCAACTATGGGTTGAGGGTGGGGAGGGAAGAAAAGAAGGGAGAGCTGATGTGGGTCGTCTCACCTCTTTTTGGAGTCCAACTCATACACAAAAGGACTTCCCACTATGATATGAATCAGTCAACATTTATTAAGCACCTACGATGTTCCAGGCACTGTGCTAAGTGCCAACAAGTGGTCTCTGGCAATCCTTCCTTTTCTGAGCCTCAGTTTCTTCTGAAAACTGAGCAGAGGCTCAGTTAAATAATCAAACCATACCTCAAGTTCAATTCAACGTACATGGGTTGCGACTCTGTTGAAGTTTTTTCCCTAGAACCCTTGTGCATTTGGGAAACAGAATAGTCAATAAACATTTACTAGGCGCCTACTATATACCAGACACTGAATCATAGATTAAGAGTTTGAAAGGGGCTCGAGAGGCCATGGAATCAGCCCCCTTCATTTTTTTCGGATGAGGAAATGAGGCCCAGAGCAGGTAAGTGACTCGGCCAGTGTCTCACAGCTAGTAATTATCTGATGCAAGATTCAAACCCATGTCTTCCTGGCTCCCAAGGCCAACATTCGATGCACTATATACCATGCTGCCCCCACAGCACTCTCTATGTCATACCGATGCTTCCCACAGTGCCGTAGACTGGATTCAACCTGAGTTTGCTGGGCTAACCTGTAAGAACATAGTGTGCTACCAATCCTTGAGCAGGTTCAACTCTTGACTCTGGCATTCAAGGCTCTCTTTGGTCAGATGCCTGAACCTTCTATTCTTCTGCCCTGACTTGTCCTCCCAGGTGCCGCTTCATCCGAGAGAGAGACAGAGCTGCCAATGACTACCCAAATCTGTACTATCCTGAAATGTACATCCTCAAAGGAGGTTACAAGGACTTCTTCCCACAGTACCCGGTAAGGGCAGCTGGCGGGGAACTTGCCCTGGACTGGTCTAGGTAACCAGAGTGCTCAGCTGGGCGGTAGCCAATGGGGGACAAGTGAACGGGGCGGGGGGGGGAGAGGAATGAGCGTCAGTCTCCCAAGGCTCTCCTTCTAGAAACAAACCCAGAACATAATTAGTTAACTTAGCTAGCCGAGGGCGAATCTGATCTTAACTCTGAGGAGGAAGAGAGGGGAAGAATCGGTCAGTTAGTGAGCATTTGTTAAACACTTACTGTATGCCAGTCACAAAGAAAATGTGAAACCAGTCCGTGCCCCAGAGAGCTTCCATTCTAACGGCGGGGAAGGGTAGACACGGTACGCAGGGTGAGCACAAATTGCTGAGGGGCCGACTGCCTCCTTCTTTCCACCATGCAGACGTTCTGTGAGCCCCAGGATTACCGGCCCATGAATCACGAAGACTTCAAGGAAGACTTTAAAAGGTTTCGCCTGAAGAGCCGCACCTGGTCGGGAGAGCGGAGCAAACGAGAGATGTATAGCCGCCTGCAGGACTTCTGAGGCCCAGGGAGCCAGGCTGGCCCACTCTGCTCCCCCGTTCCCCTCTCGTCTCCTCGCCGCCGCCTCCTCCTCCCCACTCCCCATCTCCCCAGCCACTGGGAGACCAGTCACCCTTGACTCTCCCAGGGACTGTCCGGAAGAGGCTCCCACCCCGCATGGGGGCCTGCTTCCTGGACGTGGCTTTTCCTCCTGCCGAATTCCAACTTTTCCTGGGGAAAAGCCCCCCTCTCTCCCTTCCTACCCATTTATTTAATTATTTGTTGGACTTGAATGAAGGGGTCCAACCAAGGGCCGTGCCACCTTGGTGGTGGGTGGCAGCTGCCCACTGTGCCAGTCCCAGGGGCTTCAGACCCGCTCTGATGTCTGGTGGCTTACTTTGTGTGTCTGGATCGTGGATGCTGGGACCATCCCCGATCTTAGAAGGTGCTCAGTTGGCCTCTCTACCCCTGCGAGAGGTTTTCTGCCATGGAATCCCCTTGGATTTCATTCCCATCCTGCCCAGCTAACTCCCTTGCTCCTCCTACCCACGACAGGATTCTGTGTGTTGTGTGTTTTTTGTATCTTTGGCCCTGTGCCTGTTTTTTGTTGTTTTAGGGCTGAAAGACAAGAGAAGCCTGGTTTGACATTAGTCAGGCCTCGTGGGGTCTCCTCCGGGGACAAAAAGGGATTTCACGTGCTCAAAGGAACAGTTGGGGATGGAGTTTAGATCTTTTTTTTTTCTCCCCTAGGCGTTTATTTTCTCTGATTTGGAGTTTGTGCTATCCTGAATCCGAAACAGGTTGGTTATGCAAATTGTATAAAAGATTGTGCTTAGGTGTGTGGGAAGGCTGTCCCATGTGAATGAGGGAGAAAGCTCAGGGATTCTCCCTCTTCTGACTGCTAAACATTCATTTATTTTCTAAAAACAAAGCCTCTCAAAGGGAGTTTCACTACCCATTCCCCCCACCCCAGCCACCTTTGAGCCGTTGCTGCTGTTTGACTATGAAATTGTCCATCCCAGGGAGAAGGGCTGAGTGGACCATCCTCGAGCCCAACATACCTCCTTCTACCATGCCCAGAAGGGGCAGTCTGCACACTCCTGTCTTTAAAAAAAAAAAATTTAAAGGTATAAGGGGGATGGAAAATGTCTTTTGTTTGTTTGTTTGTTGAAAAAGCACTTCATAAACTTGCACAGTATCAAGTTGTTTTCTTTTTCCACCCATTTTGTGGTAGCCTGCTGGGCCTGCCACTGGGGAGAGATTGGGGTTCAGGGTTTCTGAATCCAGCTGGAATGCGATGTAGCATTGTAGGCAAGGTGGGGGTAGCACTCAGGCCTGCCCTCTGCCTAAGGAGGAGACACAGAGGGGTGGGGTTTTTTTTTCCCCTTGAATCAGACCCCAAGGACAATTGGGTAGAGGTATGAGAACTGGGCGCTGTGGGAGAGGGCAGACAAGATTCAGGCATCATGGAAAACTTGTTTAAAGCCGCACAATGTGCCCTGGGAGGGCTGTAGGATAGAATGATGCACCTGGCTGCTCAGTGTGTGTTACTGTGAGCTCCCCATCTGTTCCTGGGGTATCTGTGTGTGCTGGAGGAGCCAGGACCATTAGCTGTCCGCCGCCCTCCTGCTCAGGTGTGACCTCTCTCTGCTGGTGTGAATATCCACACCCATGGCTCCCTCTCATGAAAAGCACTTACTCTGTACCTGTCCCAGGAACCCTGCCCAGCCTGAGTCTGTGTGTGTGTGTCGTGTGTTTGTGTGACCTCATCCATGAGCGTGAAGTAGATTCCCATTTTATTTAAGTGAGTAGGGCTGGGAGAGAGCCATGTCCTAACCTGAGGACAGTTATCACATCTTTGCAGAAGGCTTCTCCAGCTCTGTGTCAGAAGTTCAAGGGGGTGAGGGCTCCCTGGCCTTCCACCTTCCTGCTTGTTAACCTCCTTTTGTTCAATAAAGCCCTGGAATTTAATCACTGGTGTCTGGTGTGTTCACCTTCTATACCAGGAAATGGGGATAGGGGTGCATGTAAAGCCCCAGGGGAGGCGGAAATGGGTCCTTGGCCTCAGGTAATTGGGGAGAGAAGATGGAACCAGGAAACAACACCGGTTGAGTGAAAACAAGGAAATACAAGATTTGAACTCGATGTTGAAGGAAACAGGGCTGAAGATGAGTGCATTCCAAGCATGAGCCTACCTATACAATGTCATGGAGGTAGGAGAGGAAAAGTTGAGAAATGTCAGTACCTGATAGTTCTAGAATCTGTGGAACACAGGTGTAATGTCAGGGAGGTCCAGTATAAAAAGGTACTTAAACTGTTCTGAGACAAGGAAAGTATGGATGGGCAGCACCCTGGACTTGAATCTCCTTTGTTTGAAACAGAAAAGATCCCCTACTCTTTTCTCCGCCAGCTCAGTCCTTTCATTTGGATCACTTGGGTTAGAAAGCTTTTCCTGCTATCACATCTGACGGTGCCTTTTTTCACAATTTCAAATATTTATTGGTGAGTGCCTACTGTGTGACAGGCACCATGCTAAAAGGCTGTGAATAGAGTGATGAAAATAAAACAATCCCTATCTTTGAAGAGCTCACACACAGCATCTAATTTGAGCTACTAATCTGCACACATATTTTGGGAGCCCAGGGAGGTTACTGCTGTGGTTCTAGAGTTAACCTAAATTTGTTCCTCTGACACTTTTTAAATTCACAAGTCCCTATTGATGTGTTTCCCATTAACAGTCTCACCAGTAGACAAAACTAGCTCTTAGTAAAGATATTTACTAAGCATGTATATTAAGGAGCTACAATAATATTGTTGTGATTTAGCACTTTAAGCAAAGCATTTTGCATGTTATTTTGTTTGAAATACACCCTCCCCATAAACCTGAGGTGCATTCTCCCAAAAACATATAATCTGTAGGAAGAGTGGACATTTCCCACCTGGCTGCGTTCCTCAGGACTTCACCATCATGTTTCTTTGCACCTTCCTTCTCACTCTCTATTTTCCATTTCCTTTTGTTGTCTTTATTAGAATGTAAGCTCCTTGAAGGCAGGGACTGTTTTTGCCTTTCTTTGTATCCCCAACATAGCATAATGCTTGTAGGTACTTAATAAAATATTTGTTGACTGACAAAAAGCCAAAGTAGAAGGGTAGTAAGGACAAGTGGAAGATACACATGTAGCAAAGGCAAGCCATGGCTCCTGATACTGCAGGACCTAAAAGTCTTTCCTTGCGCAATCCTCTCAAAGCTTCTTCTCTGATATAGTGTCTTTGTTAAGCAGGTTTTTTCTGGGTAGCCAGGGTCTGCTCCTCTGAGTCATAGCTGGCTCTCTTCTCTGCTGCCAGGGTTCATGCGTTTTGAAGCTGCTTGCTCTTCTAATGACTCTGCATCAGTGCCCCTCTGCTCCCTGCTGGATGCCATGCCTCTCTCTTCTGGCCAAGTAGCTCCAATTCAAAATGATATAACTGATGAAGGGCAGGGGAAGAAAAGAAAATCCCATCCTCATGGCCTTGCCCTGTAGTATAGGTGCTCTAAGGGTCTTCTCAACTGCCTCCAACTCAGAGAGACCGGCTAATTTGTTTGCTCAGCTTTGTTCCCTTCTTGAATTTCCTCAAAGAGAGCTCAGGGCGTAGAAGCACCTTCGGCACCTTCTATGCTTAGTTTAAAACTTCATTAACACCTTGTGAGTAAATTGACAAAATCCTGTGACTTGGGAAGTGAGGGTAAAGCCGGGATCTGTGCCTTCCTTCCCTACACAAACAAATACAAAATATATACATGGTCGTTTGGGGGATGGGAGGAGGTGCTAGCATCTGGGGAGACCAGGAAAGAGCTCCTTTAGGAAGTGACACTGAGTGGAGCTGAGTTTTGAATGAAGAAGGTAGGTGCTATGGTGGATAGACTAATTGACTTGGAGTTAAGAAGACCTGAGTCCGAATACTGCCTCTGACACTAGTTGTGTGGTCCTGGGCAAGTCACTTAACCTGTGTCAGTCTCAGTTTCCATCATCTAAAATACAGGGGTGATAATAGTATGACTTTACATGCATGCCATGAGAATGAAATGAAACAATATAGGTAAAGGGCTTTGAAAACTGTAAAGCACTATATAAATGTGAGCTCTACATCCTAAAAGGTACATGTGAAGAAAGAATGAATTTCAAGTATGAGATGGAAACAGATACCACTTGTGAAAAGGCCCAGAGACAGAATATTGTATCTAAGTAATGGCAATAAGGCTGGTTTGGATTAGTGGTAAGCTACAGTCAGATTGTAATGGACTTCAAATGCCAAACAGAGGCATCTATATTTGATTTTTAAAAGTAAAAGGCTAGTGGAATTTTGGTTCAGACCTGTGCTTTAGGAAAATCACTTGGGCAGCTGTGTGGAGGACGGATTAGAGTGGGGAGAGATCCAGAGAGTGGAGACCACTTAGAAGGTTGTTTTGATAACCAGGTGAGATGTAATGAGGGCCTGAACAAGTGTGGTAGCTAAGTGGGCGGAGAAAAGAGGATGCATCTGAGAGATATTGCAACCCAATAAGACTTGGTAATTAGTAGGAGAAGGGTGGCTGGGAGGTGAGGAAAAGGGAAGGCAAAAGTGACTTTGAAGTGGTAAACTCTGATGACTACAAGGATGGTGATGTCTTGACAGAAATGGTGAAGCGCAGAAGAAGGGAGCATTTGGAAGGAAAGTTGATGAATTCTGGTTTGGATATATTGAGATGAGATGCCTAAGACACAGCCATTTCGAAATGTCCAAGAGATTGCTGGTGATTCAGGCCTGTGTATACAGATCTGGGAGTCACATGTCTAGAGATGATATGGGAGCCGATGAGGTCACTGTGAGAGGTATAGAAGAAGAAAAAGAAGATGGCTCCATGGAGAGCTCTTGGGTAAATCCTCAGGTTTGGTTTTTTTGTGGGGGGAGGGCAGGGGGAGTGGCTGACAGCGGATGGTTTGGCAAAAGAGACTGAGAAGTGGTCAGAGGGGCAAGAGGAGAGCCAAGAAAGCTTAGGATCACAAAAATTCATGGAGGCCAGACAACTCCAGAAGAAAAGGTCGTCATCATCAGTTTGGCTAAGAAGTGGGAGAGTCTATCTAAGGACAAGAATTTCAGGGAATGATAGGTGTCAAATGAGGGTTTTTTAAGGATGTGGACATTTTGTAAAAAGCAGGGAAGAAACTAGCATATTTTTTAAAAATTTGTATATTTTTGATTCTGAACCCAACAAACACCAAACAAAACGAGTATTTCCATATACAGAGCAAAACAGAAAAAGAGGAAAGTCTAATCCTGGGATGGGCCACATGGGCCCCCGAGACCACAGGCTTCCCCACCCCTGGTCTAATCTCTGCCATGTTTAGCTGGCTCTTGCCTCCAAGTAGACAACAAATTCAACATGTCACTTTCACAGTTGTTCTGTGGGTCCATTCCCTTACAAATTTCCTTCAGTTCTCTTAAGTGCATTTTTAAAAATGCTTCGATGACTCTTCTTTCTTTTCATTTTTATTTTTTTCCTGACAAGTTTATCACTACTCTCTCTCCCCCTACCATCCCATTACCCCTTTGGAAAAAAGAAAAATAAAACCCTTGCAAAAAACCATATATAATCAAGCATAATAAATTTCCCTATTGGCCATGTCCAAAAATATATGTCTCATTGCTAATGTATTTCTGGACAGTGCCCCAAGTTCTGCCCTCTGGGGCTAAGCAAAATAATTCATATCAGAGGAAGAATAATGTCATCCCATCATGCTCCAGTCTCCTGCCTCTGGGTCCAGATAAGGGAGAAAACACCATTTCATTTAGCATCAGACTCCTCCCTTCCAGAGAAGGGGAGAAAAGTTGTTCTCCAACTGGGCCTCTTTCGTCTGGGAAAGAGAAGTAATCCCATTTTGTCAACTCCAAACACCTGTCCCTTTACCTGAACTACTTAAGGCCATAAGAAGATGCCACTCTGAGGCCAAATTCATATAGACAATGAAAATCTAATAAACTAGTTAACAAATCCCCCAGTGATCATATTCTCCCAATGATTCTGAAACCTCAGTGGTCATCATTCAAAACCACTCTCAATCCCCTCTATCAGATTTTTTATTCCCATTACCGTCACAACCCAACACTCTTAACGTCCCACCCTAAAGCTATCCACCCCTTCCACTGTGCTCTCAAGAATGCCCATTCCATAGGCTTTCATTCTTAATGGTTTCCTTTCCCACTCCCACTCCCCAAGGAGGCTTGACCTCCTTTCTCATTTCCCCAATTCACTAGTCAAGGTAGGACAGTTGGAAGTTGCTGTGCTCCCCGTTACCTACCTACATTATCCTCTTACCTATCTGATCAGTCCTTGTGGGTCCCCTTTGCTGCATCTTCCTCCAAATCACATCCTCTACAGAACTCTGTCCTGGTTCTCTCTTCTCTTCTCCATCCATGTTACTTTCTTTGATGTTGTCATCAGTTCTGTTGGATTCAATTATTATCTCAATGCTGATGATTCTTAAATCTATTTATCTATCCCTAACCTCTAGTACTGAATCTTCTACCTATTGGACAGCTTGAACTAAATGTCTCCTAAACATCTTAAGCTCAACATGTCCCCAGACCTTCTCCTCTTCCTAACTTCTCTATTAGTTTTGAGAGTACCTCTATCCTACCAGTCACCCAAATTCAAAATCTAGGTATCATCCTCCAGCCTCTAACTCTTCCCCCTTATCCGGTCTGTTGCCCAGACCTTTCAACTTTACCTTTGTAACATGTCTCAAATACATCCTCTCTCTTTGGACGCTGCTACCACTCTAGGACAGGCCCTCATCACTTCGTACCTGGACTATTTAAGTAGCCTGCTGGTAGGTCCCCCTGGGATAAGTCTCTGTCCACTCCCAGTCCATCCTCCACTCAATGGCCAGATTCCTCTTCCTAAAGCACAGATCTGACAGTGCCTATTCAGTAAATTTCAGGATCACCTCCAG